TCATTACAACTCTCTTTGTTGAAATATTTCTGGTCTCATCACAGATAAAACTATTCTAGAAATGCTAAATGTTATTTATGATTAGTGGGTTGGGTGTCACAGAAATAAAGCCCAGGTTAAGGTTGGCTGTGGGACAAAGTATATTATTCCAGGATTATTCATTTCTCTTTATTGTTAATGCGGCTGTATGAGTTTATTGACCTTTCTTTGTGAATGATCACATGAGAAAGAATTCTCTTAATTCACTTAATTTCTGCAGAGTTTTAAACAGCTTTCATTTCAGGTACCCTAGGTAACACACACACACACACACACACACACACTTACACACACACACAGCACCCGAACAGCCATGTCACATAACCATCATTAACATAACATTTAGCCTTACTTTGTTTGTACACTGTAAATGAAAAGCTTTGTCAGTGTAACATCTAATCATGCTTCTTGTTCTGTGTTAGCTCTGAAATAAATATCCTGCTGAAATATTGACTGCAGTTAAACACAGGGGTTGTTAGACAGAAGAACATTAATGTTAGTCAAGGTAAACCATGTGTCGAGGAAGGATTATAACATATGTATCTCAAGGGATCAAATTAAAAACGCAGAGATCTCTGCTGTTTGATTTTAATGAGTTTTCCTTAAAGTCTGTTTGAGCTGTAACTGAGGCAGTATCACGATATCTTGATCTCATGAAGTTTTAAGTGTTAAGCCCGCGGGGAAGTTGTAGCTACATTATAGCCTGAGGCTCTATCTGTTACTGGACAGAGCTCAAATAGAACAAACACTGTGCATATGTGTGTGTGTGTGTTCATTGGTAACTAAAGATATTTCCACGAGTAGCTTCGTCAATTCTGTTTTTGTATTTTCATTAATGCCATTGATTCTTCCACTTGTGTGTGATCAGAACAACAAAACAATCTCTAAATATACGCTTTAGGGCAAAGAATCTAAAAGATCCCATCTGTGTGAGTCACCTGTGTAAATTCATCGTTCTGATCTGCAGTCGCTTTCCACACACAGCTCTGTTTACGTCTGTAAACCAGCGAGAAGTCCCTGCTCATATCACACATCCACATGACGTCCTCCCGTCCTGTCGAGGCCGGCGTGCTGGGTTCACCTTGAAACGCGGAGCGGCGAGTCTCTGTAGGTCATTTCACGAAATGACCAAATAAATGAGTAGCTTAATAAGATAGGATGAACCTGCACCTGGTGTCTGAACTGTGTTTAGAGGTAAGTACCAACATTGAGTCGCATCGTGTCCCAGCTCTGTAATCCTGACACCTGCAGGTGAAGCAGGAGGAGTGCAGGCTGGTGTAGCTGGAAGTGTGGCGCCCTCTGCTGGTTTCAGCGCCACAACGCTACGTTTGTCAGCTTCTTCGAATACTGGCTGCAGTTTAAGCGCGTGTTGCCATGGTACCGTTCTGTTATAGCACGTTTGCATGAGTGACATCATCAGGATGAGTTCTACTCTGTTCTATTTTATATATTCTACATATATATATATATCAAAAATCACTCACAAACACAGTGCTGTAGATCGTCCACAAGATGGCACTGTCCGGGTGAGATTTCCTTTTGTGTGTGTAATCACTGCACTTTAGGCCGTCCACAAGATGGCACTGTGGGACCGTGCAGCACACAGACGAGGTGGCCGAGTGGTTAAGGCGATGGACTGCTAATCCATTGTGCTCTGCACGCGTGGGTTCGAATCCCATCCTCGTCGGAAATTCTACGTTTTCCACATGTGCACAGTCCTGCCTTTCACAACATTCTGTGTGTACCTAACCTCACATGTGTCCTATTCTTCATTTCACTACTTTCTGCTCCCAGTAGTTTTACTGGAAGGGGACTGTGCTTAAACTGCTCTCAAGGCCACACATGGAGGTTGTCATTCATGATTTTTAGACAAAAACTTAAGATATCTTTGCAGAAATGTCACCAGGAAATCTATCAGAGCTAAATTTTAGGCTGTATCCATTTTTTTAACATTAGTTTTCTGTGGACCCTGTCTATTGAGTCTAATGTTTGAGAGGACATTACTGGAAGGAGCACCAAAGTCACATTATTAATTCTAACCAATAAAAACTATATCTGTAGATTCGACAAAGTCCCGGGATTCTCATTGTGTTTTTATTTCACAGGTAAGACTTTTTTTTTTGAAAATATCTATTTGTTCAAGCACTGCGTCAGAGCTTAGATCTGTCTCTTTCCCAGTGGGAATCAGTGAGTGAGTTTCCATGGCATCATGATACACACACACACACACACAGCAGGAGGGCCCAGAGGGGGACAGTTCAACTTTTACTTTACACACATGTTTATGTGTGGGTAGATCACTTGAACAACTACTGGTTGGTCACAGATTCAAGACCTTATGAGTGCAGAACTAGTTTTAGAGTTTGCCCAGAGGACATTGAACTTCACGAGTGAGAGATCAAGACAAATTTGAAACTAACAACACACGATCAGTATGTGTGAGCAAACCATTAAATGAAGATTTATGAGTATTTGAATTATCAATAAGATCTTCTTTACTGGTCAGTGAGAACACCGCTGCTAGGCAACAGAAACATGAATGCGAATTATGCTGCCTTCATATGGGATGTTGTCCAGATTATGAGTCCATATAAACATCCTCCTCGTTTGGTATTCACAACCTTGTCCTCTGTAATTTTCTTCCAGAGCATTGAAGGAGGAAATCTCATGGGGCTGAAAAAAGCTGCAGCCTGAATCAGCTGAAGTCCATGTGGGAGGTTACTGACACCTGATCGACCCGGAGAGCGTGACGGGATGTTTTTAAATGTGGCAGCTGGTTGTGTTCTGCATATGGAAACCTTTGCACCTCAATTGTGGGTGAATGTAAATGGTTTGTATTTTATATAGTGCTTTTCTAGACTTGATGACCACTCAAAGTGCTCTGCAGTACAGGTTATTGTCATCCACACACATTCATAAAGTGTAACTATTAGCAGCACTTTTTTCTCTGAGGGGCAATTTGGGGTTTAGCATCTTGCCCAAGGATGCTTTGGCATGCAGATGGAGAAGACTGGGATCGAGCCGCTGACCTTCTGGTTGGCTGGAGGACGAACGCTCTACCCCTCATGTATATTATATGGCATGATTCATATCCTCTATGTCTGCTGTTGATTCATAGTTATAATGGAATATGAACACTGTAAAATCTAAAATGTCCCCCTGATGACCAACATAAAAGGCCTCAGCAACAGAGTCCTTAGTCATAGACAGAATGAACTACTCCCGAGAGACTCATTGCTATACTTCAGGAGACACCATTGTCCACCACACACTCAACAAATAAACTTTTTTCAACCATCCCTGTGCAAACGTATCTTTTATTTTGAACTCAAAATGTTTCAATGTATATTTATATATTGATTCTTTATGGCAGATGTGCATATTTTCAAGCCTGGTATGACAAAAGAGGCCTGCTTGCATTCTTAACAGCACGGTGAACTTGGCATTATTCTGTCAGAAAAGTTTGTGCACTTTAGTTGGACCTTTCTCTCCACAGTGACTCACCCAACACATCATCTCGTACATGATCGCAGGTAATCTGACTGTTATCATCTGCCATTGAAATTCCACAAACAAGTTGTTGATTTTCATATGCTGTGAATGAGGTGTTTCATCATTAATCATCCTGATTTCTCCTTTCATGATGCATTATAGACCAATGAATAGTGTAGGAGCCATATATTGTTTAATTATCATTATTCGGGTTTTGATTTGTTTGGTCTGGTTGCCACGGTGATATGTGGGGTTTGGGTCACATGGGTGCAGTAAATGATTGCGTAGGTTATAATAATGGCTGAATCACCCGCACTGGGGAGGAGAGAGGCGAATTAGGTAGCCGTAATTTTTGTTGTACGCATTTTGTTTAGTTGGATCGTTTAATAAACACATTGAAACCTACCTGTACTCACCGTGCTTCCCTGAGCATCAGCGTGTCATTACAAATATACAGGACCTAAACTCAGCCTCTCAAGCGACTTTAAAGGTATTTGAAAGCCGAAATAAATAGTGTGGTTCCACTAGTAGACAAACATCAGCCCAGGTTTAATGTGGATTATTCAACGATGACAATATTGTTATCTTTGCAGTGGCTGTGGCTGAGCAGTAGAGCGGTCATCGTCCAACCAGAAGGATGGCAGTTCGATCCCAGTCTTCCCATCTGCATGCCGAAGTGTCCTTGGGCAAAATGCTGAACCATAATGGAAAAAAGTGCTGCCCATAGATGCACTGTGTGAATGTGTGTGAATGGCTGAATGGCTGAATGGCGTACTATACTGTAAGGCACTTTGAGTAGTCATCAAGACTAGAAAAGCATTACATAAATACAGACCATTTACCATTTAATAGTAGCATAATGAAATCTTATTTCATGCATGAAAAACTGAAAAAAGTCATGTCTGAATAAGGACATTTGTTTCGTTTGTAAATACAACTTGAATTTGCTCATGGCATCTACTGCAAAATTATTTTTCTCCTCTCACCAATGGATTTTGAACAGTATCAGTGAAAACATTCGAGGATAACCTTGACAGTGACCTTTATCAGCATTTTTATTTTACAAGCAATAAAAGGTATCATTATATTCATAAACAAAATATAAGTCAATATCTCAAAAGTAGTTTTCATGACGTTCCAGTTGACTCTTAGTCAGAACAGAAGTAGCTGTGATTTAACCAGATATTAAAGAATAAATGACCTTGTCCTTAATGGCGCTGTTTGTAAATTTGGCTATCACATAGCCAAACCTCTACTGAAGTGACCATGCTAACTGGCTAGCTGGCTTGTTGCTCTCAAATAGTGAGTCACTGTAGCTTTAAATTAACAAACAAAAAAAATGAGTCAGCATCTAAAAATAAACTAATATGAGATTCCAGTTGACTCTGAATCAAAACAAAAGTAGCTGTGGGGATTTATTTAAATATGAAAGTAGAAATGGCCTCATCCTTAAAAGGGATGTTTGTATATTTGGCTAGCTATGCAGCCAAAGTTAAGAAAGTACACATGCTAACCAATTAGCCGGGCCTGTAAAAGTATTATAACCTCTTGTCATGTAAACTCAATGGTGGCAGGACTAGTGTGTAAACACCTAATGCCAAAATTGGCTACGTAGCAACTGACATATCTCCTTCAACATAATTTTGTCAGTTTAGCTAAAGTCCTGCTTGTACAGCAATACTCATTTCCCCTGATATTAAACAACCAAAAATGATAAATACATTTTAAATTCTGATAATGAAGAGCCCTTAACAAAAACAATAGGGAATTAGCTGGTTGTCCAATGCAGCTGATTGGCCACAAAGCTAAAAACATATTGACCAGCTTTCTTGGAGGAGAAATTTAAACATGGGTAACTCAACACTTCATGTGAGGCATCAGCTCATCACATTCCTGGTGGTATTTTGGTCCCTGTAGAAGAAGAAATATAAACATTCTTTTTGTCAGTCAGGCCGTTGACAAAGATATTATCAGTGTTGAAGATACCAAGTGCTGTAATTTACAATATCATATATTTCTCATGAATCAACAATCAATCCACAATTTCCTGAAAACACAACATGAGTGAACAACATCAGTGCTGTAATTCTCCTGGATATGTCTCCTCATGTTGTCAGCCATAAGATGATCAGATCTGTGGCACAAAGTGATGTCCCAGTATCATAGTGATACCAATAGTCCTCTTCTTTAACTATGTACTAAAATATCCAATCAGCCATCCTCCTCATTATGGTTCGTGTTCAGCTGGATGACTGAATCCCAGAGGTCAGGACTGGGCCCTATTGGTCCTTTGGATTAATAGTTTCAAGTAACACATGTCCCTGTTGTGTGGTCACCCGATAGTAAAAAAATCCATGGCAGAGTGGTGGTTGTGTCCTACAGTGTCGTAGTCGTAGTACCTTTTCTCACCTTCTCCCGCTTATTTAAACTCAGCTGGCTGTCAGACAGTGTTGGATCTGTCCTCCGATACAGTGACCTTGGTGGCGCTATGTCGGTGAGCTCATGTTGATCAGCAAATATCTGTCTCTGGTTCTCGTGTCGAATCCTTAACAATTTGCTGATGCGCTTCCCAATGAGATAAATCATCTCACAGATGCACATGACAATGCACAGTATGCTGGAAACAACCATGAACAACATGAAGATCTTTTTCTCGGTTGGACGACTGATGAAGCAATCCACTGTGTTGGGACATGGGTCCAGGGAACACTTGGATAGCCTGAAAGAATAGAGTAAACCCAGTTATAGCTTGTAGAAAATACCATCTTTTTAATTCAAAAAGTTATTAGACACAAGAATCACCTGGGCAGGTCATATCCATGATAAATCCTGTACAAGATGTAGAGGAATGATATGTCGAATCCAGCTTTGAAGACCAAACTCAGCAGATATGTCCACCACAGCCCCCCTCTCTTCTTGCCGGGGTTGGCGTACAGGTGAGAGCCGTGGTGCAGCTTCTCATATTTCTGGTCTTTTCCCTCGCGGTATTTCACATGAGCCATCACCATCAGAGATGGGCAGGTGATAAAGATCAGCTGCAGTGCCCACAGACGGATGTGGGAGATGGGGAAGATGTGGTCGTAGCAGACATTGGTGCAGCCAGGCTAAAGAGAAAGAAAGATGACCATTTCTTTAATGACTGCGATGTCATGTAACATAGGTTGTTGCATTCATGCAAGAGAAAAAATGCAACAGAGCCTGATAAAGCCTTAATCTTTTTTTAATGTGTGTCAAGTTCCAAAAATAGTGAATATACACTTCCCATAATGCACCTAGTAAATACCAATGTCTTTCTGTTTACAGAGGTTTGTAATACATGGCCTCTGTTCAAAAGATCTCAAGCCGAATCTGTCCCAATAAATACACAGTCCATGCTGATGCTGCATTGATCTTTTTAATGCTAACTAGAATTTTGTTAGGGGGTTTAATGACCCCTTAATTGTTCCACAGTTACATTTTGTTATAGTTGGACCTTTTGAAAATAGATTCAAGAGGTTAACTTTATGCTGTTTGAGTTGAGTTAAAAGTGCATCTACATTTTTAATCCATCATTCAAACTGGCAGGAAGTTCACAATGTACATTAAAATGGGAAACTGAAAACACATTTAAAGTACAGATGTGTTACTTCAGAAATGTGTTTCTTTAAATGTTTGTTACCTGCCGGGTGTTACACACAAAGTCCTTGCTCTCATCCCCCCAAACCCTCTGTGCTGCGACTACAAACACCATCACACGGAACACAAACACCATGGACAGCCATATCCTCCCAAATGCAGTGGAGTATTTATTGACTCCACTCAGCAGACTCTCCAGGCCCGACCAGTTCATCCCTGCTGCTCTGCCGGTCTGGGTGGTAGACAAAAGCGAACCCTGTTAAAGAGAAGAGAGATACTTGTTATGTTTCCAAATTCTCAAGACAAGATTAAAAAACAGTTCATGGCTGAATCATAGGTGAAAGTTTTTTTGCTCTACTGTACAAAAAGGTCAAATTCGGACTTGTTGCGGTTATAAGTTTGCCACACCTCACCCAATCCTACACATCAGTATGTAAAATTAATAGTTGAGCCAGAAACACCAGCCGCACCCTAAACGGAACTTGCAAAGGCTTGTGTGATTCATACCAACTTCATTACAAATCTCCAAAATGAGAGAGTTGACATTTCTAAAGTTTCAGGTCATATAACTAAGGATGTTTCCTGTGTGAATTTATACAGAAAGTACAGAAAATTGAATTTGTGTATTGCTTTTTAAATTGTCATTCAGGATTATTAATTGTTAAGTTTATACAATATGTTAATTTAAAGTACTGATAATATAGTATGGTGAACTAAACTATGTGGCAAAAGTGTATGGACATGTTTAAGTTCCAATTATATGTGACATGAAAGACACACTGAGTTATAACAGGAAGTATGGTGCTTTGATCATTCCCTCATTCCTCCTCCTTGACGTTATTTAGCGGTATGTGAAGGAGTCGATATGAAGTAGCTTAAACAGCTGGAATCAGGTCCAGTAGGTTCAAGAGGAAAGTCAAAATGTAGTCAAAATAAAAAAGCGTTCATTTGTGGTATTCAGCAAGGAAACTTTTTAACTTTGTTACAGTGATGGCACCTCTGGTTCAAGAAGACAGAGATCATGAGGAAGATTGTCAGTTCAGATATGTGTCAGTTAAATGAGTTGGACTACGCAGTCAGAGCTCCAGTTAAGCATTTGATTGTTTGTTATCTGTACATGAAAACCGATTAACCGCACAGAAGTCCGACCAAATTACATGTATAAATTGTTTTTTTCTTTACCCTATAGCCTAATGGCCCCTTTATATTTAAATATTTTATATTTACATTGGGAACGGATCCTCTCTACGGAGGCCGCCATGTTTTTTACAGTAGTCCAAACTGGACAAACTAAACACCTTTTGAGTTTTTATGACAACTGAAGGTTACCACAGGTTCTCTTTCATGTTTGGAAGGAGACCCTGTTTCACCTCCCGTGAAACAGGGTACAGGCTCACAACATTTTATGCTAACTGTGTTCCCCTGTTTTTTTCGGCCTTATGCTAAGCTAAGCTAACAGGCTGCTGGCTGTAGCTTCATATTTAGCATACAAACATGCCAGTGGAATCAATTTTTGCATCTATATCTTGGCAAGAAAGCAAAGTGTTTCTTAATAGCTATAGAGTGTAACTTTTTCTTCGTATATTTTTGTTGAAATAGCCAATTTTCAGACACAAGTGCGTGTGTTCAGCCTTACATGACACTGACCATGAACAAAATGCTGTTTTAATGATGTGGCTGATTGGTGTTCTTTGTCTCTATGCTTCATCATGGACCCTGGTGATTCTGTACACACAGCTGCTTTGTGTGTTATCACCATACAGTCTATGGTTATCACTGAGCTCTGCTGCTGTTTGTGTTGCTCGGCTCGTCTGCTGCTGCTGAATGAACGCGGTGAAAACACTAGAAGGCTTTTGTGAGTAAAGGTAATGAGGTTCTTAAATGAAACAGTCGAGTATGATGGGTCCAGTATAAATAAAACGTAAATCATAAAGCTGCTGACATCTGTGTGATTTCAGTGTTTGTGTTGCCTGGACACTGGACTGTGTGTGTGTGTTTTTATTAAATGGTCCTTGCAAACAAAAGCCAATGTACACAAATGCTGAGTTTTCTATTGAATCACAGTGTTTTCACAGGCACTTATGGCTGACATTGTATAAATCATATAGAAATCCAAACTATCTTCTACTTCCGTATACAACACATTAATTTTTCAGCTTGGTTTTTGTTGTACTGAATATATAAAACTAATAGTAAGTGTGGAATATATCAAGCAGTGACGGTTTAACCAAGTTGAATTTCTTCATTTGTTATATATACAGAGTTATTTATATATATATAATACGTGAACTTATAAGGTAATAGAAGTTACGTGAGGGTAAGGTTTCTATTGGAAAAAAAGATGGAATTTACAGTTTTTTAATGTAAAACAAGTATTGAACTGCATTCAGATTTCCCATTTCATTGCTAGAGAACTAGAAAAATGTAATCCATATGCGATCTGTAACACCACAATCAGGCCTGTATGGATTCTTGAGCAGTAGAGGATCGCTCACTGTTTAGAAGAGAGTCAAATATTTAGATTTCCGACAACAGGGTTAGTTCTGTAGTGAGGACAATTCTGTGTTAACACTTTAAACTCCAGTGCATAAAGACAAATAAAATGTGTTTGTAGCAGCAGTGAGACTCGCACTTGCTTTGAATACTCGCTACCCTGGGTTGAATCTAGTTTTGTACTTTTTTTTATATCCATCAGCAAGTAAATGTTTTAACAGATCAAATACATATTTTGTGAAAAACTTTCCTGTTAGGGAATGAAACTTGAGGAATTCATCCCACAGTAGACACAACTGAACTACAATCAGTTAAATTTAAGGAGCCAATAGGAGGCTTCATGTATCATCATGGGTAATGTGGAAAATTTTAGTGTTAGTAGGCTCAGCTCCACCACACCTCTATCTGTGTGTTGAATCTACAGTTTTCATAAACATTATATTCTGTTTCTTTTATTGTTCCCTTATAGGAGCTGCTCAATTTCTTCCCCCAAGACACTGAAAAGGTTTGTGTCTTAGTCTTCGCTAAAGGAAAAAGTTACTCCCACTGTGTCTTTTTTAAAGGTTGTAATTAACTTTGTGGTTTTCCTCATTGCTGGCATAACTTTCCACTTGTATCCATCTTGTTTGAGAGGTAAATGAGAGAAAAACTATTATAACTCAGTTTGTGTGCCATTTAAACACAGTCTTTTGTTTATCTTTCAGCCTTCATGTGATACAGATTAAGGAAAAACTTAGAAAAACAAGTAGAGGAAACCTACCCTGTGCGGGAAACCTCCTTAAACACCAGAACCGAATGTGTGAGCAGCAGCAGGAGACTAATGCCCGGCAGTGGAGTTAAATGTAGTGAAGGAAAACGTAGTTTAAAATGTTCCTCTCCTTTCTCTCTCGCTCTGTCTGTTTCTGCTCTCGCCCTTTCCTCAGAAATCCTGCCAAACCAGATTCAGCAGCTGCTACGTCACTACACACACACACACACACATAGACTTTGCATGTCCTGTCTTGTCAGTTTGTAGGAAATGGAGACTCCACTCCCTATGAGCCATGTAACCTAACACTGTATAAGTAGCTTGCTTTATTGACAGGACATTCATCCTTGCCTACCAACATGGTTGTTGTGTGTGTGTGTGTGTGTGTGTGT